TTAAACAAAAATCATGAATTCACAATTTTTGCCAGAAAAATCGCCCCCTAATCTTTCCTGAAATCGTTCCAACATGGAGGAAAAACATCCTGAGAAAATCCGTGTGGAGCTGATTTTAATGACCATTCGTCCATCAGCCTTGGACCGAGTTGTCCTGTAGGAGGACACGTCCTGCTCCCAGGATGGAGAGGACGGTCCTGGCTGGCATCAGGCCTGGAGGCGGCGTTCACCCTGGATCTGTCACCGGCCGATCGCAGAGCCAGCGACGCTCCTCACTCACAAACAACGAGGTGAATTCAGCCTGCAGGGAGGCAGAGGACATGCAGGCCACCAGCCAGAAGGTCAGTGGGGACCCAGACATCACCATGCCATAAAAAAGCGACTCATTCATGCTCCGAGTGTGACGGAGAAGTAAACGGAACCGTTCAAAGGGTTTTCTGAGGATTTTGAGGGCTGGAAACTCCCTCCTCCTCCTCGTCTTCTCCTTGATTTGCTCCACGGATCAAAATGCTAAGATGACGTAATGTCCAGTCAGATGAGGAACAATCGTGTTCCTTCACTGGATCAGATGACCTCAGGCTTCATGCTAGCTCATGACCACATTTAAAAGGTCAACATTAGCTCTTGGGTGTGAATATAACATCTCATCTGGCTCTCCTGATGTCAGGACATTTCATCTTGTTTCTGACTGACCACCAACATGATGTTGCATTTCCTTTGTCTAAATACTCCACGAGCTTCCATTTCAACCAGCAGGGAACTGGCGGACATGCTTCCCTGTTCTCCGTCAGCCTTTTGTCTCCCAGCCTGGATCTAATCCCTGTAGAGGAGCGACTGCTGGATTTATAGACATCCATAGAGCAGACGGAGGGAGGTTCCCCTGTTCACTGAGATAATAGCAGAGCACTGAAGTGGAGTAGTCACACACACACACACACACACACACACACACACACACACACACACACACACGCACGCACGCACGCACACACACACACACTTCAGCTCTGCATGTGGCAATTATCTCTCCTCTCAGCAGCTTGTGGCATCTCCTCTGGTTTTATTAATCTCATCCTAACTTCTCTCCCGTTTCTCTCTCCTCCTCTTTTCCATTCCTTCATCATTCCTCTCATCTTTGTTGTTTCTCCTTCAAACATAAGGAAGTGATGGAGATCTTCTCACATTCCAGCAACACGCTTCTCTATCTGCACCCCCCAGTGAAAACATGAAAAATAACCTCGACTTTAGTCGACCCGCGTTGGGCTTCGCCTGAAACGTTTTCCCGTAAAGTTTTTTTTTTATCATAATCTGTGCTCCTGCTGCATTTTTCATCTTCTCTATCGGTTCCTTCAGAGTAAGAAAAACATCTTTTTAATATTTGCAGCAGGAAGAGGACCAAAGCAGAGAGACATTTTCATTTAGAGGTGAAATCAAGCTGCAGCAGTGAGGAAATCTAAAGTAAAGACAAAGCAAACATTTAAAAGCCACGGCTTGGCGAGAGCGACAGAAGCATGCAGAGCAGCTAGAGATGGTGTCAGGTGAACTCTGATGGGTGGTGAACAAAAGAGACCACCAGGATGGTGATACAAACACTGACAGGAGGAAGAAAATCCGTGGTTTTGGCTGCAGTTTCTGTTTCAGCTGCAGCTCATCCTTCATCTCACTGATCTGCAGACTTCAGTCCAACGGGAAATGGAACGCTCTTGTCAACCGTCTATTCAAAAGAGACGACATGTGAGTGATGTCTCACCAGGAAGTCGATGCTTTCTCTGCTCTTGCAGCGTCGGGGCGATAAAGTGCACCAATGTGAAAAGGCTGCATCTGCTCACAACAAGACCAGTTCTGGTTCTGGTCGTACCTTCAGTCTCTCTTGTCTGTCGGGTCTTTGGTGCCACCTTTTGCAGGTGGCTGGACATGTGCTTGATGCAGTCCAGGTCAGACATAAGAAAGAGAACCAAACTAATGGAAATGTCTAAAAATCACAAGATTTAAAAGCTCATTTAAGATTAGGACAAAAAGACATAACCAAACCCAATTTCCCGGGTTAACAGTGAGAACAAACTCAGAGTAGCACTTATCATATGCAACCATCTGTCCTCTGATTAGCTAGCGGTGGCATGACTCTTCCGCTGCCGTCGCTCGCTCTTCGTTCTTGGAAATGGGAAAGGATGGAAAATGTAACGTTGATGTTTTATCTCCAAAAAAACAAGCCTGTGTGAGGTCTGCCATGTTATACAGCTGCTAAAGCTAACAGTTAGCTTCTGCTAGCAGAGACGTGGTCTGCTTGCCTTGTGGGCGGGGCCATGAATGCTATTTCACCTGTAACGTAGCAGAGGCTGATCTTCATGACTGCATTTTTCCTGTTTATTTCCTTTCTGCTGCTGCGGGTGACGGGGGTTCACATCCAGCGTGCGCATGCACCTCGTTTCAGGTCTTTCTGGCTTCAACTCCCACTTCATGTTCCACTCTTACGTGTGTTGATGGCTGGTGAACAGATGAGTTTTAAGTGTTTTAAATAGTTTGCATTTCATTAAAAATCTGATTTTTATGGTCCAGGAAATCCGAGGTAAGCTTAAAGTGTATAAAAAGGCGTCCCAAACCCAACAGCAAAGGAAAATGCACCTGAACGGCCTTAATCAAGTCCAGACATGGGGTTACAGGTGGACAAATGCAGCGTTCCTGCTGTTTGGAGGCTTTTAGAGAGGCCAACCACACTCAGAGTAAAAACAGGCTTTTCTTATCTCTGGTTTATTGTTGCCTCGCTGGAAAAATAACAGACCTGAAGCCGATTCTCTGAACTCGCTCGCTGCTGCTGCTTCGGTTTAAAAACAGGATTTTACTTTAAGACCGACGAAGGGCGGCAGCCATCATGCATCCTCTCTTTGGGGATCCAAGGTCTGAAATTCCATTGTTTGGCTAAGTTAAGGCTGGTTTGTATTTTTTAGGTCAATGGTCTTCATTCCTGGTTCTCCTGGGCCACCTGCAGTATTCACAGGTCTCTCTGCTCCAACACACCTGGTTTTAGTCAGCAGGTGGCCAACAGGCTTCTGCAGAGCTCAATGAGATGCTGAGCAGGTGATTCAGCTCTTGAATCAGGTGTGTTGGAGCAGGGAAACAACTAAAATAGGCTGGATGGTAGCTCTCCAGAACCAGGACAGGACACCACTAACAACATAAAGAGAGAAGGTTGAGTAATGCAGGATTATGGGAATAACAAGCTTGGAGCGGGAATGCTGGTTTTCTAGTGGAGAGCTGAAAGAGGAGGAGTCTGGGACGGAAACAGCGATAGGAGAACTTAAAAGGCATTAAGGACATCTATAAACTGATAAGAATATTTATGACACTTACAAATTTCAAACCTCTCGTGACTTATCAGTCTTTCAACATTTGCTCTGCCTTCCCTTCCTCTAATTTCTGTCACAACCCGCTTGAATTCAGGCCAGCTTCTTCTAGGAGCCGCGCCAGAGCGTAGGCAGCGGCGTGGAGAGTCTGCGATGAAGATGAAGGTGTTTCTAAGAATAAAGAACCACAGCAGTTTCACTCCAGAATTCCTCTGCAGCTGCTCTTTTCCCTAATCCCAACAGAGCATGAGGTGCTATCATTTCCCCTGCCAAGTGCCCTTGAGAGTCCCGCTACACACTAACGGAGTTAACAGATAATCACGTAACAGCACACACGCATACACACACACACGGTTCTTATCAGACTGACACATGTGGATCCAGCTGTGCAGTGATATTTTTCTTATTTTACAGAATTTTCAACATTTAATCTGCAGCTTCTGACCTCCTTTAGCCTGAACTGAAAACAGGTGGTGGTTTGATCAGAACAGAGACCAACATCCCAATTTCATCATTCCCAAAGTGATATCTGCAGTGAAACAAAAATAAGTCACCAATCCGGCGGCGGCGCTTTGACGTGTGTTTGGACACGTCTAAATATTGAGATGGGCACTAATCAGTAACTGAGCGTTAGGAACAAAAACATTAAAAATATTCCTCTCAAAACAAAAAGTCTCGTTAAAAACAACAACCTGCCGCCAAAGGAGATACCGGATACCAACACACACTCATGGGACTGTTCTAGAGCTCTGATTGGTCAGAGTGTCATCGGCTGTGTGTGTGTGTGTGTGTGTGTGTGTGTGTGTATGTGTGTGTGTGTGTGTGTGTGTGTGTGTGTGTGTGTGTGTGTGTGTGTGTGTAAACATTTCTGGGTCACAACACCTATCATGGATTTCTTGTTTATGTTCATGAATAACAGGCATGACGTGTTTATTAACCTCTCGTCTGGATTTACGGATCCGTTAAATCCCGGAGCTCCGCCTCCCGAGTCTTTAGAACTAGTGAACAAGTGTGAGATTATTCTGGAAAGATCGCTTTTTCCTTTACCGTTTTTTCCAACTGAAACGTTTACTTTACATTTTCCCATAAAAACAACTTTATTCATGACTTTTACTAATTGCTTTAAATGTAAATGTTTCCTGTGACTTTTTTCTCAACTTTCAGAACTTTTTCCTCCAAACTTTCGCTTTTTAGTTTATTTTTAAGGACCGTCTCAGCAGAAAAGTTGTGTTTGAGTCTAAAAATGAACACGACTGGACCTCTGAACGCTCTCCGCCAGCGCCTGGAAGTATTTTAGCTCCTGAAACGCGGGTGGGCGGATGCAGTACGTCTATTCCTGCTTCCTGCACGTGTTCCAGACGGATCGGAGGGTTTACTTCACTCTCAGGCAGACAGACAGATTATGATTAGCTGCTTTTGGTCTGAAAACATGTTTGCTTTGATAATTAAACGTAGTTTTCTGGCCAGGAGCTGCAGGAGAGGCTGATGCTTTTTACCGATCTGCTCTCCTCTTGGTGCATCCGTGACAAACTCACATCAGTTCAGAGGTCAGGTTGCGGCACCTCAGGTGTGTGCTGCTTCGCTTCACCACTTCCTGTCTGATGATGCTTCATGTTTAGGATTATTTTGTGGGTCAGCGTATTTCTGCTCTGCTCCTACCTGAAGTGCCGCGTGTCTTTCAGAGCTCGGTCGCTGGGGATGCGTTCGCTCTCCCTCTGGTTGAAGGCGTACAGTGTGTACGGGTCGTCGCCGGGCTTCCAGCGCCGCGCGTTCAGGTAGCTCCGCTCGTCGAAACCCTCCAACATGTCCTCCCACTCCGCATCAGAGAGCTGATAAATGAGAATAAACCGTTACACGTGACCCAGACACGGGCTCAGCAGGTAATTAAGGTGTGACGTGAAAACCAGTATGAGGATTAAGCTCCGCCCCCTTCGTGGTACATTGATCTGACAGATCTGACTAAAACATGTTCTCACCTTGCTGATGCTTGTTGAAAATCTTTATTTTTCTAACTGATTTACTGTTATTTCATATTTTGTTGCAGAAATAAACACCTAGCGGATGTGCAGGTGAGTGGGCGGGACTTTCAGGTCCACCTCCTGTGTGAGCAGGGTAAAATATGACATGGCTTCACTTTTCTACAAAAACGACACACAAGCTTTAGTTATTTATGTAGATTACTATAATAACCTGATCCCTCAAACCTGTTAAGTCCAGATTGAACCGGACATAAATTCAGAAAATCGACATTTAAAGGTGCAATTTGTAAAGATTTTACAGTAAAATAATCCCAGAATAGTCTAATGTCTCAGTCGTGTTAGAAAGGTTACACTGAAACAATTTCATTCTCAGCCGGCTGGGAGGTTGTCACTTTTTCTCCTTTCCAAAGACAAAAGAGGGACGTGGTTAATGTTTACAAGCTGTGAGCCCGTGAAGCTACCGAACAGAGATGGGACAGTGTGGCATCAACGAGTAGTCTCCATGTTCTGTTTTTGTTTTGCTAAGCAGCTGAACAACGTTCATTCACTGTGCAAACAACCACACATCCTCTAATATCAGAGGCATCGTACCGTAATAAGTGTAGTAAGTGCTCCCTACCATAAACTCCCTATGGAGTTAGATTTGAAAATGTATTTATCTACTTATTGTGTATGACTCGTCATCCAGAATCTTCTGGTGCTGATCTGTAACTGGTAGCAACCATGAAACCAACAGAAAGGCAGTGAGAGAGCGTTGTTTCTCTGCAGAATACTCTGCAGGGACCTCATTAGACAACAGGACGTCATTCTTACAAAGTGCACCTTTAAATAAATCACAAACTAATTATTAAAAGCAACTTTACATTAGAGGATTCATATTTTTGGTTGAATTATCTAGAATGGTGTTTAATGTGATGATGGAGGATGAGATCTAGTCATAAAAGTCTGGTTCTGAGAGTCAGAACCAGGAGCTGCTGACACCATCCAGGAGGAGGTCTGCGCTTCAGCTCTTTTGATCAACAAGATGAAAGATGGACTTGAGTTTATCCTCCATTCATCAGAAGATGGACTTTCTTATTCACTTTCTGACCAGAATCCCTGGTTGTCATGGTCTGAGGCGAGCTCATCCTCTAATCAGCTTCAGCTTTCATTCCAGGTGAGCGGTGTCTGAATGGGACCAGCTGCAGCAGATCCATCATCAGCCACTGCTGGCTTAAAAGGAGGAGGAAGACCACTGCTCAACGCCGGTTGATTACTCCACACGGGTATACCCAGTTGGAAACTCTCCTGCCACTCAGTCTCTAGTCTAGTCTAGTCTAGTTAAGTTACATTTTTGATTACTCTACCTGACATTGCTCCTTGTTTTTCTCAGATCCTGCTCAACTACACCCCTTCAGCCAAGCTCCTGGACCTCTCTTCAGCTCTTCCTTCCCTCAGTCCCTTACCCGAGGTAAGGGTTCCAGTCCCTTCTGGAACCCTTACCTCGACACCACTGGACACTTGGATCCTGCCACCTCAGACCTAACAGACCTCCCCACGAACCATCTCCCCAGCAGCACAGTATAAGACCTCCGCTCCTCCTCCACCTTCAAAACCTCCTACTAATCCAGACTCTACTTGCAGGTCCAGTTCTCCCCCTCTACCCTGCATCTCCCAGTTTGGGACATCCTTAGTTGTGCACCGTTTAATTTTACATTTGTCTCTTGGGGTGATTCGGCATGTCTTGGGTCAAGCACTGAAACCCCAACATGACAGTGGTTAAGATGGTTCTACGGTCCAAGCCTCCAGAGTCTCCGAACTTTGATTTAAAATAAACAACAGTACATAAAAACAAATCTAGAAACAAATATGTTCAAATAAAAGTCAAACAAAACCTTCTGCTATTATTAGTTAATAAAAATAATATTAAATGTATTTATATTTGAAACTTATTGCACCCAAACCTATAATAAATAAATAAATAAATAAAATTGTGGCTTTTTGGGTGGAAATAAAAACCTGTAAAATCTACAGGTTTGAAACTAAAATCGGGTTTTAAATCCATGTTTCATAAAAACACAAAGTGATGAAGATGCTTCAGATTCAGAAGGGGAATTATCTGATTTAATTATATTTATTTCACCCTGACGTCTGAAGTCAGACGTTTTTAACCATGAATGGGAAATAAAGCTTTGCCTCGCCTCTTGTTCCTTTCAGGTCTAACTGAGCAGAGCTGAGGTTTTTAAACGACTCCTCTGAAACGCTGATGCTCCTTTAACTGAAGCCCTGAAGGCTCAGAATCAACCTAAAACCTGCAGAACGCTACAAAGCAAACACGAGCAGTTAGGAGTTAAGAGGCTGCTTCAGCAGCGCTACGGTCGTTTAAAATGCTAATCAGAGAATATTCTCCAGAGTAAAAACACTAAAAGTCCATTTTTCTGCAGAAGAAGCAAAAAAAAGATGCAGCAGGAAAAAAAAACATCTTCAGAAAACACATAAAATATAAACGTGGTTTTGAATTAAACAGCTGATTGTGAAGATGGGAACTATTAAAAGTACAGTTGCTCTGGATGGAGAGTTCCTGTGTGTGTGTGTGTGTGTGTGTGTGTGTGTGTGTGTGTGTGTGTGTGTGCGTGTGCGTGCGTGCGTGCGTGCGTGCGTGTGTGTGTGCGCGTGTGTGTGCGTTCCTATGTGTTCCAGTGCGTGTGTGTGTTCCAGTGTGTGTGTTCCAGTGTGTTCGTGTGTGTTCCTGTGCGTGTTTAAGGGAGTGATACATAAGAGAGAAGATGTTTCTTTGAGGGTGAGACGTATAAAGAATGTGTTCTCTGCTGCTCTTTCCGCATCATAAACACAACACAGGAGCTTCAGCTAAACCCCCAGAGGCCATATTTCTCCCCAATGATCACACACTGGCATGTAAAGGAGATGAATGGGGACACATACACACACACACAGGGTCAAAGCATCACCGGTGTGTGTAACAGAACAACATTTACGGTGAAGCAGCTGTCTGGATGGAGGGATGCAGCAGTTTCCTCCTCCTAACTCTGCTCCTCCTTTTTGCTCCTTCTCCTCATTATTCAGCCGTACGACTTGCTGATGCGACACATTGTCTAAATGGGGCCATTAGAGGGTGTGTGTGTGTGTGTGTGTGTGTGTTGAGCTCTTCCCCTGGTGGCTGTAACAACAAAGCATGAAGAACGAGATGGGGGGACACAAGAGGAGAGTGAGCCTAATGAGAGAGGGGAGGAGGAAAGGTGAAAGAGGCGGGTGTGGATTTAAGGAGGGAATGAGCAAAGTCAGAGCACTGGACTGGGATAAAGAGGAATAATCAGGAGCGTTAAGGAAACGGAGGATGAGAGAAAAATAGGATTTATGATAAGAAAAAGAACAAAAACAAAACCAGGGAGGATGAATTAGTAAAAGTTTATAATCTTGATTTAGAGAAGCGACCTGCCAGGATTACGGGTCGAGATGGAGGGTGGAGACGACTAGGAAGAGGAAAGGACTGAAGGGAGAAAATACAGAGAAACAGAAGAAAAGTCAGGGAGATAAAGACCAGATGAAACTAAAGTGAATTAAAACAATAAAGGAGAAGAAACAGAAGGATGTTGGAAGAAAACATTTAGAAATCAGAAGGTTTGTGGTTATTTTACATCGTCGGATTCTTCTCAAAGAACTCAAATTATTAGAAAACTTCTGGTTTTAATCAGAAAAACGTGACAAGAACAAAACAAAAGAAGCTCAAGTTCACAGAGCTGGAAAAACATCAGGTGTTACTGCGTTTCTCATCAGCTGATCAAAGATAGAGTGGATTGTGCTGATTCTGATCACCATCTGATGCATCTCCACAGATTAGGATTAAAGCAAAGGCCAGGACGGAACGACAGGAGTTGGGAGAAGCAGAAAGGTGAGAACAGATGAAAGGAGAAGAAGAAAAGGAGATGATTAAGCTCCTCAACTTAACAGAAAACCACAAACACCTGCGGCCTCCGTGTGATTTGTTTGTGTCTCGCTGGGAGCTCAGGAGAATCTGCTTTCAAGGTCCTCTGAATTCAATCCTATTTACCCGAAGACACACACACACACACAGCTTGTCTCCTTAATGCACCGTGGCATCCTCTCAATGCCTCTCCGGGCCGCTTACATGCACACAGACATTCAATTAACAAACCCGGAGCACGGACCACCGGACAAACGCTGAGAGAGAGAGAGAGAGAGAGAGAGAGAGAGAGAGAGAGAGAGAGAGAGACAGACAGAGAGAGAGAGAGAGAGAGAGAGAGAGAGACAGAGAGAGAGAGAGAGAGAGACAGAGAGAGAGAGAGAGAGAGACAGACAGAGAGAGAGAGAGAGAGAGACAGACAGAGAGAGAGAGAGAGAGAGAGAGAGAGAGAGAGAGAGAGAGAGAGAGAGAGAGAGGAGTCTCTAACTTTCTCATTATCATTCTAAAAGTATTCTCCTGTCTGGTCTAGATGAATTAATAGGATCCCACACACATGCACACACGCGCACACACACACACACACACACATGCGGTTCATATAAAGGGCTGAGTTCTGCAGAGCTGAAGGAAACCTGTGGATTCTTAAAGAGCAAGTCACTCCCTAGCAGAGGATTACTCCACTCCCACTTCCGGTTTGAAAAATGCAACAAATGCTGTTGCCTAGCAGACCGAGGGGGCGGAGCCGCTAACATATACACACACACACAGGGTCACAATGACATTGTGACATCATATGGTACCAGCTAATGTTCTTGGGTACCTCTTAGCCAATAGCTATGGCAGATTTAAATTCAACTGCAGTGCAGAGTTTTTACCCGACAACGGCACAACACTGACAGTTTTAGGCAGAAAATTTAAATTTGAACTA